ATATATATATGATTTATATATATATATTACATATATTATATATATGTATATATATTAAATATATTATATATATATATATTATATATATTATATATATGTGATATATATTATATATATTATATATATTATATATATTATATGTATTATATATATATATATTATATGTATTATATATATATATATTATATATATTATATATATTATATATATTATATGTATTATATATATCATATATATTATATATATCATATATATTATATATATTATATATATTATATATATTATATATATATACACATATGTATATATATATACATATACATATATGTATATGTATATATATAATATATATATATATATATATACATATATACATATAAATAAATAAATATACATAAATGGATATATATATATATATATATATATATATATATATATATATATATACATATATATACATATATATACATATATGTATATATATCCCCTTCGTGCCGGGTGACGCCGATCGGCGTGTAAACAAAGAGCTCGAAAGCTGGCGTGCAGCCGAACGAGCCGGCGGCGCGCCAAAGCGCGGCGAGCCAGTGATTCGGGCTGATGTCCCCTACTCACGCGCTCAAAGTCGGCGCGCTGCCTTTGTTTGTTTAAGCGTAGAGTTTTTTTTTTTCTTTTGTACACCCGGCGCCATTGGGATATATATATATATACATATATATATATATATATATATATATATATATATATATATATGTGTATACATATATATATATACATATATATCTATAATATATATATATATATATATATATATATATATATATATTATATTAATATATATATAATATAAATATATATATAATATAAATATATATAATATCTATATATGTATATATATATATATATATGTATATATGTGTGTACATATATATATATATATATATATATATATATATATATATATATATATATATATATGTACACACACATATACATATATATATATATATATATATATATATATATATACATATATATATTATATATATTTATATTATATATATATTTATATTATATATATATTAATATAATATATATATATATATAAATATATATATATATATATATATATATATATATATATATATATATATTATAGATATATGTTTATATATATGTTTATATATATATGTATACATATATATATATATATATATATATATATATATATATATTTATATATACACATATATAAATATACATATATAAATATACATATATATACACACACACACACACACACACACACACACACACACACACACACACACACACACACACACACACACACACACACACACACACACACACACACATATATATACATATATTGCCGCAATAGCTCAGTGGTTAGAGCACTGGACTTCGACCCTCGTGGTCCCGGGTTCAATTCCCCGTCACGACAGTCGTAAAAAAACCTATGCTCTGACTGCTAGCTTGAGCCTGAGAAAACGACATACCGGCTTGAGAAGTCAAATGCAGGTGTCGTAGGGGAAGTCACTGCCGGGGCACAAGTGTTAACGCACCGAACCATGGTTGATTAGGAAGGGCATTTAATCAGGCAAGGGTGACACTGCCATATAACCTCTTAACCCATTCGCTGCCTGTCTCGCCTATTTACCCTTTTCTTTAATTTACGAAATTATTTTGCGTTATCTTATTTTGTTGTTACTAATGGTTATAACTTTATAGTAATTATAATGTTTATAATAAAAATAAACATTGATATTCATAACACTAGTAAAAATACATTTTCCTGGCAATTCAAGTAAAGGTAAAATCAGGTAAGGCAGAGACATCTAGTGTAGAGAAATTTCATAAAAAATGAACACATATATAACCCCTTGGTGCCGGGTATGACGTGTACGTACGTGCTATGCCCACAGTGAGTAATTGTTTGATTGTTCTTACGCATAGATGGCAACACTTGTACTAACTCCCCAATGAGCCAGTTACGAGCACCGCCTGATTACTCGTTTCTTTGATTTACAAAATATTTTACGTAATCTTGTTTTGCTGTTACTAATGTTAAAAAAAAATATAAAAATTATAATGTTTATGATAAAAATAATACCATCGATTTTCATTGCACTAGTGAAAAATATGTTTTTCCCGCCATTTAAATCAGGCGCTAGCAGAGCCATTTATTGGCAGACATTTCACGAAAAACATAGAAAGTGGGCACAATATTTTTCCCATTTTTTGTTCCTTTTCCCCGGCACCATTGGGATATATATATATATATATATATATATATATATATATATATATATATATATATATATATATATATATGTATATGTATATATATATGTATATATATATATGTATGTGTATATATATATGTATATGTATATATATATATTTATATATGTATATATACATGTATATATACATGTATATATACATGTATATATATGTACATGTATATTTATGTACATGT